TAACTCTTTGTTAGTTACTTATAAAAGTAACCGAACTGCTATAAGCTTGATAATTCCACTGCTACCTAAATCCAAATTCTAAAAAAAAATAATGTTTCTAGAAGAAGCGACTTTATTGAGAAAACTTGACGATTTAGGTATAGAGACATGATACATCATCTTGAAGCATTTTCCACCATCTTTCAATTTACCGAGTAATAAACAGGGGGTTTCATTTGAAAAAATGAACTTTTGACTACTTTTATGCACAATGGAAATAATAGTAATTTTAGCACGCCCTGTATGATATGGAGTCGATTTCTTGGTGTTATTTGAATATTTCGAGTTTGTCCAAACTATCATCAAAATATCAACTTTGCATGAATTGAGAGTACTGATGTACTTAATTTCAATTAAGGCTATGTTTTGGACCATATTTAGCACAATTTATTTTTTATCTCGAAAACAGATAGAGATAGGTATAGGATATTATTAACAAAAAAGTATTAAAATACCATAGCGATTCCAAAAATGTATTAACATACCTGGTGTTTCATTTAAAAAAATAAAGTTGCTAGGACTTTTTGATGGAAGTGGCAACGCCGCAATGCTGAAAATATTTTAGATCGATAGAACAAGTAAGGAAATGTGAGAGGTGAAATTTTCAGAAAAATTATGCTTTGCGTTTTCCAGAAACGTCTAACCTATCACGGACCGTGAGTCGTGCTGTATATGTCAGAATGCCTGCTTAATAAACTATATAAATAACTAGGTGTTTTAGTTTGAAGCAACTTAAACAAAAAAAAAATTACCAAATACTCTTTACCTCACATTCAGCTCCTTCATTTTTAACAAAAATGGTGTGATATGTTCACCATATGGTATACAGCATACGAATCGCATGCAAGCATTTTGTATACGTTGTAACTTCAGCTTGTTATGTTGCGGCAAAAAATTGTAATACACCGAACAACAATATTCGATATGGGGGTAAATGAGAGTTTAAACTAACCTGAGTTTAATTTCTTCTTATGGTTATGCCAAATGTATCAGCTATTGCTTCTGTTTATATTTTAAACATTTTCTTCAATACTTTTCATGAACAAAAATTTTTGTTGTAAAAACGGAATGATTTGACAGAAATTATTGATATTCATTTGTATTCGTCTGTGAGTGCTTGCGTGCGTGTGTGTGATGAGTTCAAATGGCGTTGGTATAACCAGTATGCCAATCTATTTCAACATGTATATAAATCAACAACTTTGGCATTTTGGGGGAGAAGGGTGTAAGATATAGTTGATATGTTAGTTATGAAAAAGATGACATTTTTTTTCTGAATGCTAGAATCACTAAATACGATGAGTTACTGACATATTTCTCTGGAAAAAATTGGTATTGGTATATGATCAGGCTGAACTGGAAGTTAGCTCTTTCTTCATTTCCTCGAAAAAATGTCACTAAAAACTATGAGTTTAAACTTTCACAACTAGAGATAACTTGTCACAGATAACTTGTCACAGAAGTTCTGCTACAACTGTGCTAGAGGAAACGGACGAAGTACTCTATTTGTTCTCACCGATGATACTACATTATTGGTTTGATCCAGTGGTTTTATCTGATTAAAAGTGGGCGTGGGTTGAATTAAATGGACACATGTGCAATTGAGCCCAGGTAACTAGACTTTATGATATCAATTCCTCTTCCTATTGAAATTGTTTCTGTGTTTCTGAATTTAAACGGCATCCCCATCTAGACATGGATATATCTCTAAGTTCTATTGAGTACTTGGGACATTCACACATTATTGTGAAATCAAAGAGAGCAACCCACTTTATCGAATTTGAAAAGTTTTTTTTATAGAACTCGGAGCTACTATCCAAGACAAAATGCAGAGGTGAAATCCGAAAAAATTGTTGTTCACGATAAGGAAGAGGAAATTAACATAAATAAAGTTAGGCTACCTGTACATGTTCAGATCATTCAATTCAACCACCGATTAAATCAAACTGGAGATTTAAACCATTGATATAGTATGGACAATAAGAGTACTTTGTCCGTCGTCTCATCGCTTTTGATAATGTCCACCGCAGTCGCAGACGATACGTCAAGTATAAAACTTTCTCCGCTTCCTGGGAGTTGCCAGACTTGTGCATTTTTCCAAATCTCCGGAAAACTTTGTAGCCTCAAAGGCCCAATTTTTTTCATGGCACCTATTTTAACAATCTTGTTTCCTGTACTTATGTATACAGATATTTTGCTGGACGTTATATTCTTCTGGACACAATTTGGGTTGTCCATATATTGTTTGCCTCTTGTGATCCAAACCCTCACATTCGCATAAAATATGATGGGCTGTCTCTGGTCCTTTGTTGCATTGCCTGCAGATGAAGTTTTCGTTGTACAGTCCGTTTTGTTTCAGGTGTTTTTTAACGGGTAATATCCAGTGAGTACTCCTTCAGTTGTTCAGAACCGATCCCTGCTTTGTTAAGGCAGTTTTTCGGTTCTCTTCTCGGGCAATCCCTTTATTGAGGTTTTTCCGTATATGTTCCCATGTGTGTTCTCCATTACTCTTCATGTTTCTTATGAGACCATTTTCATTTCCAATCTGGTTTCGTCCCAAGGATTTCAGTACCCCACAGATGGTCGAGGGCCTATATATAGAGTTGAGAATCCGTGTCTGGCAGCTTTTTCATTGTCCAAAATACCTGAGTTTCTTGGCGCCAATTTCCTCAGTTCCTCATAGCATTTCCAGACCTGTCTTGATGTCACTTTTGGGTCCCTCGGTGCCCCTAGTGTAGCCTGGCTCTCTGTGAAAATATTTACCGGATGTAATATAAAATGCCCTTTCAATATCCAAAAAGCAGCTAAAAGCACTTGTTTCAAACAAATTCTGCCTTTTCCGTGTCCCGGCATTTCGACGTTTCTGTTGACATACTTACCTGATTTGTACTCGTATTGCTGTAGATGCAGTGGTCTATTAGCCAGAGCTATGTCCCTAATATGTCTGTTAAGTAGTTATTCTAAAAATTATAATGCAAATGAAATGGGACTGATTAGTTTCAGGGTGTTCACCGAATCCTGTATAACTTTTCTAGGTTTTGTTATGGAGGTGGCTCTAATCAGTCTCCATCCTTTGGGTGGTATTTTGACCTGTGATATCTGCCACGGGCCCCAATTCTATTTGGTGGTGGTTCCAAACTGTCATAAGATAACTACGGCCAAGTCTCTGGAACAAAAATTACTCAACGGCTGTGTCAATAATGTCAGTGCCCTTCAGGACCCTGAAGGTGACGATTCTCAGCTTCGAACGTACTTTCCTTCAGGGCCTCGAAGGAGGAGATCAGCATTTGACCTTCATTCTCTTCTTTTCTATTGCAGAGGCAGGAATCTGCTCAATGAGTTGTGTTCTACCTATACCCTCCAGTGCTCAGGATTCCGACGCTTGCTCTCATTGGCACATGTTATCAATAGGACACCTGCGCTAAATGATGTTTTTCTGAACTGCAGGTTAATATTGCTGCCTGAGTGAGTATTTTCCAATTCACGGAACAGTCCCTCCTGAATCAGGTCACCTTATTCCTGACTCATAGGGACCTCCAAATAGAGTTTATAAATGATTGCCACACTGGGCCCACTAGCAGCTTAACTATATGACCCTGTATGTCATGAGAACTCGTGGCCTTTTTTATTTCCTTTATGGGGGGTTTTAAAGTCCTATCTGGGCCTATTTTTGACATCTTCCATGAATATTCTTCTCGAGGAGTTTTTGCTGCGGTCCTTAGGTGGCTTTTTAGTTCGTGTCCCCTCTCTTTCCACAGCCTGCGCACAGCGCCCCCGCCATTTTTTATTTTGCAGTCCGACATTTGCTAGGCTTGCAACTGCGGTTTCGGCGGTACTGTCACCGGCCGTTTGTGTTACACTTGGTTGGTCCATTGAGTCCCCAGATCATTCATATTTTGTGAGGAGCCGCTCGAAGAGTTTTCACATTTTTTGACCTCGTTCCATTTGAGTTCCACGAGTGTGGAGAAAAGGGTTCTCTACATCCATGAAGCACATTTTTTTACCTCGGTCCATTTGAGTTCCGCGAGTGTGGCGAAAAGGGTTCTCTACATCTATGAAGCTCCCTGAATGGATGCAAGACTAAGTACTCTAGGAGGTCACCTGGTATCCCAGAGGCTCTGTACGTGATACCTGGTAAGGGGCTAAGATACCCTTCATCCTTCGACATGGGTCGAATATCACCATTGGTTCAACACCACTTTTTAGTTGCCTGTGACAACAGGCAAGATGTAGATACCGCAGACGTATTGTAACCTCTGGTGCCGCAGGGGATGGTACCCTTCTTTGTCTGAGATTTCCTCCACAACCCGTCTGGCTTGGGAGGCACTACCAGTAGCTGAACTTCCGTCGCGTCGCGTCGGCATGGGGATCACAAAAGTACGGAAGCCCCCGACAAGGTGAGGTAACCGTTGATGGGGATTGTTTATTATTACTTATAATTTCATAAGGTTCTTATTTCTCTGACATATTCAAAAATTGAAGGTATTCATTTTGACGTGTTTCTTGTTACTGATCTAGTGGACCAGAAACATTTACTGATATTACTACTGACATTACTACTTACCGAAAAAATTAAAAACTGAAGAAAAAAATTTCATAAGATTGTCAGAAGGGACCAAAACAATATTCTGGCGTTTTATTAAACTCTTGGGAAATATTTTTCAGACCCTCCGGATTTAAATTAACTATTGTTCAATTGAGGGAAATGCGTTTTCAATAGGTTCCAGATTTTTAATTATGATTAAGTTTTCGTTTTTCTTAATGAATAATTCTAAATGAAAAATATAATGTTTTTTACTATAACTAATTTCAATAAATTTAATTTCAACAATATAGTAAAATACAATCAATATCAGTAAGTAATTTCAACAATTTAGAGACAAGTTTCGGAAATTACTGAAATGAAAGGATTCCGGAAAGAATATTTCATTGCTGGCACTGAATGAATTTCTGAATTTCAGGTTCAGCAACGTTGAAAATAAAAAAAGTGAACCTACCAGAATCCGTAGAACTTGGCTCAACGAACGAAATTATAATGGACTGCGACTTCGAAGCTAACAATGAAACTGACTTGGAGGTAAAATGGTTTTACAATGGGGAAATAGAACAAATTTACCAATGGATCCCAGGAAATCACCAAGGATTTGGAATGAATCGATTGAAAAATAGATTAGATCTCAAGTATAGTGTATCAAACGATACAAACACCAAGTACAGGGCTTTGAGGATAACGAACATAACTCAGGATTTGTCTGGAAATTATACGTGCAAAGTTAGCAGTTTCGATAGTGAGGATTCCAGGACGAAACAGCTCATTATTTATTGTGAGTACTTGTATTAGTTCTCTTTACTTTTCTTTCAGCTTGGCAACAATCATAACACATATAACAGTAAAGCCTATATATTTCATCTGAAAGTTTCGTAATTTCTTTGTGTAACAAATTTTTCAAGAGTGCACAAATTTAATTTTTTAATGTATTAATTAATTTGATTAAATTTTTGATCGAGAAATATGTTACAACTTTTACCTACAATATGAAACAGTTGTGGGATGCAGACATAAATGAAAGAAAAATTGAATTGAAATTACGGGCCACATTTTTGTCAAAAATAAATTCAAACATTTCCCTAGCGAAACGAATCATGGTTTTTTTCCTAATCATTTACAAACCTCCATGTGACTGATTATTTTGTCGCAAAATAATTAACGAGACCTTGTCAGTAACATTTGTTTTTAACAGGCTTATATTAGCTTCACTTGTATATTTTTTTGTTTGTAACCGACTCCTTTGGACTCGATTTTGACTAACTTTAAACGGACAGAAGTATTTTAAACTTTGTACACTTATCAAGAATCGGTGACAATACAATAATTTCATAAGTTTATCTCATTATCCTGATCAGGATCACCAGGATAGAATAATTGCCTCACACAGTCTCTGTGTGAGGCAACCACACTGTCTGTGCATGCGTATATATTTTATATTAACACAAATGGTCTTGAAATATCAAGCCAAAGAAAAAAGTGGAAAATTAATAATAACTTAAAATACTATAAAAAACAAATTTTGATAGCAATACAAACTAAAAAATAAAAAAGAATTCGAAACTAATTCAAGATTCTGTTTTCAACATCGATAACAAGTCCTATGGCTTGATGTAACTGATGACTTTTAATAAGTCTGAATTCAGAATTCCAAGAATAACTACTTTTCAACTGCTACTAAGTAGACTTTTTGAAATTGGTTGGTTGAGAAAATTGTCATTGTTGATTATTTCTGGTGATTTCAGTTATTTATTATCATTATTGATATCCATATCTCAGAATATAAAAGTAAACAGTAATCAGATGTAACCTCCATTTCGAAATGGTGCTGCTCATAAAGTTTTAACATTTCAACTTTCCAGCAATTGCTGCAGCAGCAAAATTGGTCAGATTTCACTGCAATGGCTGTTGGTTCTCTACACAATAATGTACACAGAATTACATACCAATAATAAATGATTTGTGAAGTTATCGCTACCATGTCTTAAAGAGACATTTGTACAAATCTGGCAGCCTCTTTTTCAGATAGTTTTGTTTGAATGAAACTCATCAATTTTCATATACCGGATTAAAAAAACCTTTTTTATATGTAGAAGTCACAAAAAATTAATCGTTTTAGGGTTGGTTAGGATCTCTAATTGACAAAACAATGCCATTCAGTGGTGTGGTTTATAATGTCAGCCATAACCAAAGACATATATGTTTCTGCTTATGCTAGGGATTTGATGGGTATCATGCTTATCTTATTTCGATACCATTTCTCGTACAGTTATTATGCACCACCAAACTCCATAAAAAAATGAGTCTTTCGGGGGGGGGGNGTCCTATACTCGCGAGCCGTTGCTTTGGAAAAATGAACGGAGTTTGACAAGGGAATACCTAATATTTCACTTTAATAGATATTTGATTGTTTGCCGACCTGCCTTTTGATTTAATTCAAGTTGTGGATTATCTGAAGATATCGTTAAATACTCAATTTACTTTAACTCATTGCTAATGATTATTTCTTTATCTTTGATTACAATGTGCATTCAGTGGCAAAGGTGTAATCTACTCTTGTCTCATTTAGCAATCCATAACATTTTAAAAAGACGTATTATTTTTTTCTTTTCATTCTAACAGTGAATTTTTTCACCCTACATTGATATTTTGGTCATCACAAGAGAAATTAGTGCTACTTAATATGCCTTGAAATAAACATGTTTTCATTTCAATCAATTGAGACATATTTTGAATCCTCTTCCGATATAGCTTCCATATATTACAGTATATATCAACATAACCCGATTTTTTTGTCTGAAATAATTATTTTCAAAAACACATATTTAAATTAGATGATCCAACTCATTATGTCACAAACCAATGCATCATCACATTAATTATGAACACGAAAATATATATCACATACGCTAAACGGAAACTAAGGCAAAGAAACGATACCATCTTAAAATGCAATTATCCACTTCACCAAAATATCAACATCTACATCAGGTAACCTCTCTTTTGAGAAGAGAGTATAATGAGAACAAGTATATGATTATTATCCAATTGATGTTCCCAGGAAAAACGTATTAGCATAGTTATTTTGTGGCCATTTTTAATTCATGAAAGTATAATAATCTACATTAACCGTATTGTGGTCATTCGAATAACCCGACTGAGCAAATACAGGACATCTTCGAGAAGTATCCACTGGTAATCAGATAGTAAAGCCTTATCCATACCACCCCTGGTCTAACTCAACCTGAACCCGCAAAAACTGACCACCGCAATGGACCCGGACCCCTCGAACCGTTTAAACCACCCTAAAACCTGAAGAGGCATGAGCCTGTAGCAGGGCCCTCCTCCTACCACCAATGTAACTGAAAACTAATGTAGCACAACTGTGAATAAACGTCTTGAACTCAGTAGGAATTATCTTTATAAATATGGGTAATATACGACCTCGCAAAAACTCCAAGTGATAAAATACTTTTGCTATCGTCCTATATTTTTTAAGCACATCTGTCAACCGCCACTCCGCCATTTTTGGTGAACCGGGAAACAGAACATGGTCTAGGTCTGTCTTTCAGTCGAGCACTGTCAGGACGAAATGAAAAACTATATTTTACATGATAATCGTCAAATTATCGAAACGTTAAAGAATATAAAGAGTTGATTTCTTTGAATATCTGAACATTGCCGATCTAAAGATTGCTACAAAAAGTACAGGACCGCATTTGAAAAGTCAGACGACATGTATGAAAATTCTATAGACATTATGATAGCTCATTGAAAGTTTTTTCGGCAAAGTGTAAACAGATATCCAGTATCTCTGAAAATAAAAAATAGGCATAGTAATCAATTTTCGAAAATTTCGTTTTTTCTTTAATATCTTCGGAACAAAAAAATATAGAATAATTTTTTTTATAGATATCATTCAATGTTTCTTAAAAATGTCACTGCATAATTCCTTCATATCACGAATATTATTTTCAGTTAATCGTGATTTTACACTGCTCTTGATTTCTTTCTTGAATATTGTACATAGGAAGAATATTTTGTTAATTGAGTGATTCTTAATATACAACAGATTTTTTATTGAAATTTTGAGAATGCAGAATTAGTAAATAATATTTTAAAGTTGAATATTTTCTATGTCGGGAATGTATGTCATTTAAGTATTGTTCCAATCTATGTTATTTCAGTTTCAAATACTGGCAATTTTTCACAGACTCTGACACATCACGTGGAACCTTTTGAAAAATCCTTTATTATTAACCTACAAGTCAGACAATTCATTATCGCGATATCTGATAGATTCTTCAAGAGACCAGTCTTTGCTACTTATATTTCTTTTGTTGTTGAATACCCTGGCGCGTGCCACACTCCGTTACCCTTCGCCGATTTCTTACAAAAGATGTTGGATATGCTATCTGATATCTAGTGCATAATATTAATAACTTTAAATTATACCACGTGGCGATGACTCAGTAGCGTTACAATTAGAAATATTTTCAATAATAATGAAAATTGTCAGATTTGTATTGAAGGATAAATGAAATATTAACAAAAATATAGTAGCATCGAAATATTCGAACGAATTTTTAGGGGTTCAACGGCATCGACTATGTTGATCATTAGGCTAGTGTTCTGGGTAGGCAATGTTAATAACTTCCTGAGCCACCTAGGGAGCATTATGGCTATTCGCAGTTTGTTATATAAAAAAACTATTATTTATGAAATGTAGAAGCATAAGAACGCCAAAAAACAAATTATTGTGACCTGAAAATCAAATAAATTTATAAATGGGTTTAACAATGAGGTGAAATTTCAATAATGAACAAAAAATAAAAATAAAAGAAAGGAAAAATAGAAGGATGAAGGGTGTTTCTCTTTGATCGAATATCAGTTCCAGAGATTTAGTCATCCACCACTTCTGCTGCATATTTCTGCCTCCGATCCTAAAGAACAACAGATGAGGGGAAAGCACCCTAGTGTTTGTATATTTTTGACAGGTTACGTGTTAACTGTTTCATGTCTGTTTCCTGTCTCAATAAATTGTTTATTACCAAATTAGCGTTCTCATAAGTTGATATTTGATTCTCATTTTCATTTATTCTCATTTTTCTATACAATTCTATAGAATAACTCGTTCGAATGTTTCATTCTTTGTTCTATTAGATTTATTTATCTTCCCTAAAATTTGAAAACTATTACCACTTCTTTAGACAATGGAAGTCCTAAACTCTAAAAAAGTCAAGACTGACCGTTAAGTGTATCATTATACCATCTGAACGAATTATTTCAGCTCCTGCAAAAACACCTCTGGAAGTTATTCTGTTTGAAAAAGAAGCTTTTGTGATTTGCACGACTAGCGGCATATATCCTGAACCACAAGTTGATTTCTACATACAAAAACAGTAAGTACCTCAATTAAAAAAAAAGTCAGAAGCCATTATTATTAGTACTTTCTCAGTCATTTTTTCTTCGTTTACCTTATGAATTGACTCGAATTTCAATCACTCATCAGGTTTAATAAAAAGTTGAAAAACGTTTTTCGGCAGGACTATCGCTCTCGTAAATGTTAGAATCAACATCAGATAAGAAGACATATTTTGAAAAGATTGAATATTGCCAATATTTCCAACGGACCAATTCATCACTTGCAAGTTCACTGCAAAAAACATTTAGATGTAATTTTGATCTGGAAAGCCAATGAAATATAGGTTAGGTTAGGTCCAAAATGAGTGGATCTATTCGACCCTCCACCGCAACCCGCAAAAGTTTATTGTGGCTCACACATATTCATACTCGACCAAATAAACACAGCTTCTTAACGAAGCCGATTAGTTTGTATGATGAGTGGTCTTTCAGGTCAGATGGTAAGAGTACGGCTTTGCCGAACTCTGAAAACCTGATTCAGTCCCCAGCGGGGCAGGCACAAAGTATATGCTTTGCCGTTTCATTATTAATGAGGTAGTCGGATAGTCAAGGTGCAAGATTCCCACCTTAATACCTGCAACAACCTTTCCATATGAAAGTTTTTGCACGTCAGCTACACCTGACGATGCTGTAGATTCAACCATGCAGGGCTTTTTCGCCTCTGGTTTTGGTGAATCATTACTTGAGCGCAAACGTTTGGTAACCTGCTCATGGGGGGTTTATTCCTCCACCTGAGACAGATTCTGCGTACACCGCTCAAGAGATTGGTGCAAGGCGGTTTCATAAGGTACACCCCTCTTGAGGAGACGACTCAGTAATTTTCTGGCTGCACCACCAAATCTTTCTTCAGGTTTAGTTATTGGATCAGGAGTTGGGAAGCTCTCGCACCTAGTTTAAATTTACAGGAAGGTCCGTTGGAGTCGTAAGCTCGACATCCATCTCCTCTGTAGACTCAGCGTCAAAAAGAATTCTTAAGTTTACTCTGCCCATGAAAGTCCCACGAGTAGCTAGGGAAAGAAAGTCAATCACGGCAGAGCCCATTACCGTGACAAGGCGATGCTACGACGAAAGGGCGCCCGGTATCCGTAGAGACAGCTAATAGGCTCATTGTCATTCATCCTCTCGGCACGGATACATACACCTTAGGATTGAGCCATCGTTGGGATGCCATTCAGTTAGGGAATAACAGAACCACAAGTGATTCTGTCGGATGCCTGAAGCAGGCATCCGATGGCCGGTTTGCTCAACCCCCACATCCCAAGCCAAAGCACTTGTCAAAAACAGCATGCATAGTGGTTTAGGCACTGAAAGATAAACAAGGACAGCCAACCCGCCAAAATGAAATATAAGTAATATCTGTTTCATTGGAATTATTGTGATTTTTATCAGTCTTTATTTTAACAGTGGAGATAATATAGAATTCGGAAAATGTTTGACTTCATATTATTATTAATTTGACAAGATTTTAATGTGCAAAAACCACAGTCATCCTTCCTATTTCTTTTGAAGTCTAAATTGCATAGTCTTTCACAAATTAATAAGTATCCCTGAATAGCCCCTGGTATTTGGTATTTCTTACAAGCAAAAGCTTATAGTAAATGTATGAAAATATTATTGAATTTACAATATTTTTTTTCATCTAAGGAATGGCACTCAAGAAGATATAAATGAAGACATAGATACTGATATAGATGGAGAGGGATACTACAATGTAACTGCCAAGCATCGGTTTGACAATTACACATTGAATGGACCCACAAAATTCGTTTGCAATGTGAGCATTGCTGGGACTGATTATTATTTATCAAGGACACTGGAATATCTGAATCGTAAGTTCACATTTTCCATATTGTTTCTTTCTGAATTACTGAAAAAAATCTGTAAATTTTGTAAACTCTCAAACACTGAATAATTGATAAATCCACTCAAATTCCGTCTACTGCTTTTATGATACTCTGCTTGTTTTTGATATCTTACAAGTAACTTCATTGGTGCTGTGATCAATGATACAAGACGTACTTATTGAGATTGCATAATCCCAATAGGTACTAATAACTTTGTATAAAGATGTTCCTATGTTTTGTTATGAATTGTACAAACTACTTCTCATATGTCTCATCGCTGATGAAGGTATATCTTTGAAACTAAATAATTTATTAAATTTTCACATTGACACACATTCCGGTCTTCTCCTCTTTATAGTGTCATCCTACAAACACAATTTTAATAGAAACATTTTCAAACAGATTCTAACAAAAAAGTTGAGGAAGAATTTTTAGTGACAGCAAATGCTACAAATGCGTCAAGTGTCGAAGATATCATCTACATTAATTCCATCAATTTGACAGGTATTATCTAAGATTTTCAGTATGTAAAAGCAAAAGTAGTTTTGTTTGTTGTTAACAGTGATTTTTTATGGTGTGTTCCTACTGGATCGAAAATTCTCTTTGGAAACCAAAAAACAAAATTACAGAAAATGCATGGAAATAATTTAAACATATATCATATATCAATAAAACAAAAAATACTGAGACATTTTCAAAACTAACAGTTTTTGCTATAATTCAGCAGGTAATGTCTTTTTTATCTAAATTTCTGTATTATAACAGAAGAAATACCTCACCATACCTCAATTGTCTAGAGTAATGTTAACAGATTTGAAACCTATGGAAGAACAAATAACATCAAAATGATGAAATATTGATAGAATTTCACAGTAAGTTACGAGACCGAAATATTAAACCAAAAAAAGGAATGAGCAATAAATATTGAAATTCAGAAAGTTTATTTGTAAAGCAATCAATATTGAAATTCAGAACGTTTATTTGTAGAGCAAACAAATTATTATGACCTGAATATTTTGTTTCATTTTTGGTTGTTTCTATGTATTCAACATATCACTTAATCATTTATTTATTCTATTTTGTTTCAGGTCCTGTTATTTTTTTTTTGTTTTACAAATTAGCGTTCTTAAATTATTTTGAATTTTCGTACTCTGATTTTAAGTATTTTTGATACTTTAAACATTTCATCATGTTCATTTTATTTGTTCTTCCATAGATTTTAAATATGTAATTTTTTTATGGAAATCTGATATGGAATGCATGTTATCCCAAACCAATTAAATCGAATATTGGGTTAAAAATAACTTGAAAAACATTTAATACTCGCGCATTATTCGAAGGTTAGGTTAAGTTTTGAATTATGGGACTATTTTAAAGGTTTTATCAAATTAGGGATAAAGTATTATTTGGAAGGATTGCTATTTTCAAAAAAATTTCAAGCTTCATTTTCTTTTTTTAAATAGATAACTGCAAAGGAAAAATTAATGGAAACCTCAAATACTTAGACCATCCACAAATTTTTCGTACATATACAAAGTTGAAGAAAGGAACCTAGGGAAAAAACTAATCACTATTATTATGGATATTGAATTGTAGACAAATCTCTTTTTTTTTCAATTTCGGTATTGAACAAAATTCATATGCAATAATTGGTGATAGAAATTGAATTGATATCATCCATAAGAACACTCTACACTTGTAAAAGGAGATTATTTTAAGGAAGTGATTAGTTTTGTAGAAAAAACTTTTCAGCTCTCAACTGCTCCAATATTATATAGAAACTGAGAAACTTCCAAAGGAAGGAAAAAAATGACAGTTACCCACTTTTCATATAATGATGATGTCATTTCCTTCATGGATGTTTCATATACAAATCTGGGTGTATTTTTTCAGTACATGTCTATAAGAAGTATTCATACATATTCTTCATATTTTCTACAGTTTTATTTGATATTTTTTGTTTTTTTATCCTTTCCTTGCTAATTTCGTATTTTTCATAATTCAAAAGAGACATTTTGAAATTGTTGGAACATTACCTGTATTGCAACTTATATTCACTCTGTATGGTTTTATGTGGTTGCTATGCGTTGGTGAAAAAGTTTGTCGATTATTATATAAAGTTTGTCAAGTTCAGTTTGTATTTTCAAGTTTATTGAAGTTCTACTTTCAGCTATGATCTATACTTTCGAATTTAATTCACAACAACAATTATATAGAAATTATTTGATGTGATGAGCACAATTACCATCGAATTTCGCTTGAAGAAACTAGACAAAAATACTTTTTTTTTGAAAAATTGCAAAATTCAAAAACTGATATACCAAAAAAATCAATAACCTCAAACACTTTTTTTTATATTGAAGTCAAAGACAAACTGACGTTCAAATTGAAACACCAACACTCTTCCTAAATTTTACATCACGTCTTTGAACTATCAATTTTAAGTGAAAATCGCATCTTCATGAATCGATTCAGATCGCCTTCTGCTCACGGGATTTAATATATTTTACTTCTATATCTTGATTGCTATACAAATCTTTGACATCAATTTATTTGAGTTGCTTATAATCCCACTTTTTCAGTATATGTATACATGTTTGATTATTATCTTCAAATATAATGACAGCATCACTCAACTTGATTTCTATGTCCTTCATTGCCGCACTTGTTAATGCTGCTTCAGTCAAAGAGAGTGCGACTATACTCTGCTTCCTTGTCGCTCAGCTTACAGTTATACCGTATACACGAAGGATACAACCTGAAGTAGACTTCCGATCTTTTCCTCCAGCCCAATCTGAATACGTATAATCAATTGAGGGAATTTGGATAGTTTTTGGGAAGTAAAGGCCATAATTTACGGTTTCTTATAAATTACTTGAAATTCTCTTCAATCCAGTTCAGTTATTTTCAATGCTAATCTTTGAAAGCGACTGAAAAAAATTAACTGCAAAACTCAAGTTCGGTCTTGTGATGAACATGAGAAACATAACAGTCCTCCTAAATCATGACTTCGTCCAACTGTCCTCCCTGTATTAAAAGCAAGTGTGTTTCAGTTCTACACTCGATCCTGTTAGAAAACCTACAGCTAGGTGGTACAGCCAGGAAACCATATGAGAAACCTCATGTGCAGGATGACTTGCATCAAACTCTTGAGCAGCAGAAGTAAAATTTACATCAGGAGAAAAAAGTGCCTACGAACGCAGCTGAGTTACAGATACCTTTTCATCTGAAACAATTGCTGTGTTCATTAAGGCAGGTTATTGTACCTTGAATATCTGACAATTTTAAAATCCACCAATCAACTAGAATCTCTTCACTATGCGATTATGGTCTGGATAACTATTACTAGCAGTAGAGATTTGAATAGATCCACTTCCTTAAGTTTCTTGTAAAAATACCTGTTTTGATCTTCTCATCAGCAATATTTTAGAGATTCGTCATTCAAATGGTGCTATACTTTTTGAATTTTTGCTCTTGTCCGAAATACCTGTGTTTCATCACAATTACATTTAAAAAATATTTGAAATATTTCTTCCAAATCTTTGCTAATATGGGTCGTTTGTTTTTTTTTATCTTTGGTCACCATACCAAAACCACATCAAAGACAAATCAAAATCTCGTGCATCGTTTCAACCTCATGTCATTCCTAAGATGCAAATGGAAAGCATTAGTCCTTCTCTAACCTTTTCTCTTCTTTTTATCTGGTTAATAAATATTATGATCATTTTGAATAAGCTTATGATTTTTTTCTGAATCATCCGGGACCTGCTGTATGCGAGTTCTCATTATATTATTATACTTGCTCTGGATCTGAATGACTAGGTCTTCTGCACAGACCAGTAACTTCTATCCATTATGATCCCAGAGACATTCATTTAAAATTTAATTTAAGTCGGCCGATACGTGATGAAAATCCATAACATATTAAAGAAACGCTTCATTGTGATTTCGCACTACACAGTTTACAAAACCGCAACACGTGTTTCGCTATACAATAGCTTCTTTAGCCGTGCCTATACAGGCTTGTTTGTTTAGTGAAAATCTCACAATAAAGAGTTTCTTGAATTGAAACATTCATTCCAATGTATTCAACGTAAAGTTTTTGTTTTGATTTTGCATGTACTCGTTTTTTATTTACCTGTGTGTTCAGTGAATTTTGAAATCATTGAATATCAGCAAGTTTTTGAACCACCTTAGGAAGACAGCACCCATTCTAAAATCCTAATGAGCATTGTATTCAAGCAATACACATTTTGAAAAAATAAATTACCTGATTACATTCTTGTTCTTTTCAGAAAACACCGCAGTGGTTCACACATCTTCTGCCTTCTTCTCCCTCTCCCTGGCTGTTTTACTGTTGGTGATTTTTTCCAAGTGAATGTCCACAACATTTTTTATTATTTTGTGATAATTTTACCAAACTGTAAAGCATACTTTGTAAAAATGTAATAAATTGTACATAAGATTCTTATTGTAAGAAAATACCTCACACACTTATTTTCTGTACGATTCATACCAAAGGTATTTAACAAGTATGTATATATCTAAATACTGTACTGCAGTAATTGTTACTTTGTTTTTTATTTTGTCTGTGGATACTAGTCTCCAAAAATATATTTTATATTCAATTTACCATAGGAAATAAACAATAAATAAAATAACGATTTTTTATTAACATACATAAATACTTCAATAGCAATAAAAATGAGGTCTTTTGTCTAGACCTAATAATTAAGTCATAATTCTATTATTGCACATGCCCTCATTTGAATAGAACTATAATAAATAATAAACATTTTGTCAGAGTACATTTACATATAAATAAGTTTTAATACATAGAAATATTTTTGGGTCATATTATAGAAAACATAAAAATGAAAGTGTGTGGCTTTTACCATCCAATGAAATTCAACTGCATTATCATAGTGTCAGCATATTTTTCATGAAAACAAAAAACATTTTTACTTAAGATTGATATTAACTTATAGGGATATTTGAATAATAATAATTTATTTTCATAGTAATTGGGAACGAGGATTACTGGGAGAAAAAAAGTTGATAATATTGTGGTTGAAAATGCATTTCAAGTTATGGTTGAGTAACTGTTGATAGATTTACTGGCAAAGATTTGAGTATAGATTTTGTTTTGCCAAGATGTAGCATTTTGGAACATTTTCCACAAATCCGATAGCAAAACATAATCAAGTTAGTTTTGAAAAAGATATCCTTAGGAAATTTTTAATTTTTATTTATTTTTTTCAGTGTTGCAACTCGACACTTTCAAACAAAAAAATATCGATGAAATAATAATGCAAATGTTAATCAAAGAGTTCTATAGATATTTAGAGGTGAGGTAAAAATAAATAGGAAAAATGTTTAATACAATAGACAAAACAGATAGTTTCAGAATAAATAATCTACATGTGAAAGAAAATCACACAGAATGAATCAAAGTGTGCTTACTTGAACCATATTATATTATTTGAGAAGGAATGTGTAGATTTTTTCCCGATAGAGTTTATAGTATAACAAAATATTTTATTTATAACTTCAATGCCCAATGTCACAAATATTTACTTAGGGATCAAGCTGACACTTTTCATCAACTACATCATTCAAAAATTTCAAGTAAATGGGAAATAAGTCATTTTTGAAAGTCTTGCAAATACGCATTATATAATTCCCCGTTCAGATGAATACTCTATTTGAAAAAATATTCCGTTTTCTGTAATGCAGTATTCAAAATATTTCTGTTCTGCACTAAATATTTACAAATCTGTATGTGGATTTTCCCTTTCAGTGAATATAATGTATATGATCAGTGGATTCTGCTGAGGAAATCTTCCACAGTTCATTTTTCTACCGTTCGTTGGTCAAATTGATAAAATATATTTTTCTCAAATATTTCCGGAATTTGTGTTCAACGATGATGGGCCACATGTTCATAAGTTACTTTGGCATGATAGCCACTAGTATCAGCAAAATAGTCCACTTTCTGTTTTCGGCCATCTGGTAGAAGAACGTAGTAACTGCCTTCTGCATTTTTTCCATTTCTTTTTTCCTGGTGACCAAAATCATTCCCCTCTTTTGCGTCCTTTATTCTATACCCAAAAGCATACCTGGCAGCATATTGAAGCTGAAATGATGGGACAAAATTATACCATATCAGTAAACTAAAGAAATGACTATGGAGATAAAATAATTGTACATCATCAAGTATTAAGCAACAGGTTTTGGGTTTGACAATTACGATACTTTTTTTTTTGTTTACAATTTTTTAAATGTTGGAAAAAATTGTATGAAATATAAAATATCATTGGGAGCTCTCTCAAGTAGTAATATGTTATTTTGTGATCTTAATATAATATGAATAATTATGGCGAAATATTTTTCTCAGTGATTTCTTGGAAAAAAGAAGGAAGAATGTTATTCGATTTGAAAACTATAAGTAAAATTATAGTCAAAGAATCACAGATGAACAAAATTATTGATAAAATTTGGAAGTGGTAATATACAAAAAAATACATACAGTAATATATACAATACAACCGCAAACCTCTACTTGTGATACATCATTGAAAAGATACTCAAGAAAAGACTTACGACTTACGTTTCTAAATATAAATTGATATCTGAACATCAGGTTGGATTTAAGGAAAACGTATCCACCCAAGACGCGATATTGGCTCTGACATCTAAACTATCCACCGCACTAAATGAGAATAAACCATGCCTATGTGTTTTAATCGACCTGTCGAAAGCATTCGACACAGTCGATCATAAACTGCTTCTAGAAACACTTGAGAATATGGGAATACGGGGAAATACCTATGATTTATTCAAAAGTTACCATTCTAATAGAACACAGATAGTAAAAATTGAAGATGTTTCAAGCAACCCACAAAACATTAGGATAGGTGTTCCACAAGGTACAGTTTTGGGACCAATTCTGTTCTATATCTATGTCAATGGAATTTTTTCGCTGGACAGTAAAGCTGAAATCTTAGGCTTTGCAGATGACACAGCCATTTTTTATGAAGCCAATAACTGGTCAGAACTAAAGAATATGGTAGAGAAAGATATTCAATCAATGAAAAACTGGTTACAATACAGGCTATTGACAATTAACCTGGAAAAAACCCATTATTTGCCATGTACCTGCAACAGTTCAATAAGACCATCATTCTCGTACGTGGATGTGGGCCAACATACAATTAAACCTGAAACTAAAATAAAATACTTAGGTGTCGTTATAGACTCACACCTCAGATTATTATTTATTTATACAATAAGCTGCGCTTCATCGTTTATAAATTCAAATTTCTCAAAAACTCTCCATCATGCCCTGGTTGAAAGTCACTTACGCTATGGAATTGCCTGTTGGGGAGGAGCCTTTCACACCCATATTCGTACGCTGGAAGTGTTGCAAAATAGATTCTTGAAATTGGTTTTATTCAAGCCTACGCGCTTCTCTACCCAAGCTTTATTCTCTAGGGCTCATATTTTCGATATTCGATAGCTTTTCTATTAAAGCACTATTACTACATATCATAAAAACAGATGCTTCCGACTACCAAGTCATTTCTACGATACTCGTAAAAAAAACAACCATATTGTTCCACGGATGCATAAGTCGATTGTCCAGCGCTCTTATAATCATTTAGCGTCGAAATTATTCAATACAGTTCCGGAGTTAATCACTAAATGTGATTCACTTATTGAAACGTTTCATTTTTGACCAAACAAGGCAAAAAATTGCTCATTTCATTGAAAATAAGGATATTTAGAACTTTTGTGATTTATCTGTGAAATGTTCAATATTTATTCCTTCTTAAAATTGAAAGAATTTTTTATATTTTATTGTAATGATTGAAGATTTTTAAATTTTTGACTTTCAGTTTGATTTGTTACTCAAAACAAGTGTTTCACTTATTGAGTGTCAACGGTATTTGTTTGCAATTCGATGTTATCATTATATCTGTAATATTTTGTTATGCAAATAAATATTACTATTATCGAATTCTAGTTAAGTATTTGCAATGACAGGACTATCACGTGAACAGTGAGGAAGGTATTGAAATTTCGTGACTTTCACAAGTATGAAATCTCAAAGAAGTAGGCGATGTTAATGAGGACCAACGAATTGAGTTTTGTGAACTCATGACTGAAACTAGATTATTGAAAAAATTTTTGTTTCAGTGATAAATGTAGTTTTATGCTGAATGGTAATGTAAATAAATAAAACTGCCGGTAGCGGAGTGATATGAATCCGCATCGATTAAGATAACACTCAGTATCCAGAAAATCTTAATATTTGGGTAGGAATATTAGGCGATGCTTTGATTTAACCTTTGTTTTTAACACATAATTTAAGTGACAAAATTTATCTGAAATGTGCTGGAAAACCTCATCGAACCTTTAATTTTGTATGAATTAGAGAACCAGAGGGACATTCTTCACTTCCAACAAGATGAAGCAGCTCCTAACAATGCAGCTGCAGTAGGGCACTTGTTGCTTACTAATCATCCAAAAGAAAATGGATTGGTAGGAGAGGTCCTATTGAGTGGATAACGAGGTCACCAGAATTAACGCCACCTGATTTTTCTCTGTGGGGTTACCTCAAATCAAGTTTCGACTCCTGAAGGTTTTCGTTAACAGAAAAGCACATTTTTCAAACAAGTAGAGGTTTCCTATTTAGTTTTTCAGATGGGGTGGGGGGGTTGATGGTGGTGATATCATCTTTTGCTTGTAATTTATAACACATTATAAGTTTTAACATTGTTGCAATGTATACATCAGATAGATCACTTTCGATATTTCTGAGGTTACAGAATGGATAATCTCAATGAATTCTGCGCTTTTTATTTCCTACAACGAACTCAAAGTCTTTCCAGTCATATAGTAGATTGTTGTGTTGGATACATTTTGGTAAGTTATCATTGTTGATGAAAACACCATGCATTCTGTCCTCATTTTTCTGAAGCGAGTAAGTGCCTTTCAACACCCTGTTTTTCACTCCCAAAGTTCAAATACTTCATAAGATATATTTTAATACTTTTTATAAAAGTTTGATTACTAACACTCCTACTACTCTGACTACTATCTCTAAAGCATTTGAGGTATTTCAAAACCACTATGGGAATAACATATTCTCATTCTGGAAATTTAAAATTGTTGGGGAATAAATTGTAATTTGATATGTTTGGTAGACTTGATATTTCAAAATAATATTTTCCTAATCTACATCTTAGAACTAATACTATTTGGTTTCTCTTACAAAAGTAGGTTGCCATATTCTGAGTAATAGACAGCTGCAGAATATACAAAACATTTTGAGATCAGCTTCTCAATATTCTTTGGAGATCAATATTCATGAATATCTTACACCTCATACTGGAATCAGATCATTAAAATTGATGATGCTTCTTTCAGTAAACATCTGTTGTGTGGTAAGACAACAAACCAGTGGTCTTGAGTTTCACTTACGGAAGAAAGTGAAATATACATACTGAAAGTACAAGTCGTGTTCAAGACTATAAATGTTTCAAAACCATTATTTCTTTAGATGGCTGGATTGTTATTTGAGTTTTAGATCACCATTTTCACTTAGTAATTGTTGTCATAATATATACTGGACATAAACTCGCATTACGCTCAGTTTTCATTTGATGCTGTGTTGAAGAGTTGTGCTTGTGAATTTTAATTTATTTCGAGAAATGCATATTGAAAAGACATTGAGTTGTGACGGTACTAAAGATAGTTACTCGTTCGAAACATCCCAGTTAATGAAATCTTTATAGTGTTTTTTTCCGTATTTTAAAGATTATCAATTATAAATCCATATCCTAGTAGAAATAGATTCATTTTTGGATTTTGATGACCTATTCAATAGAAAATTCCCAGAAGTGTGATTTCATTTCATTCGGAACATCTCGAAAACAAACATACGTGAACTATTCAAAGAATAAGGTTAATCTTCAAACTTATAGGGCTGTATACATTTGATTGGCGAATTTTAATTATTTTATGTTGGCAAACTCGTCTCGAATATATGTTCACAGTTTTAGCTGTTTAGCGTGTTTAGTTTGTTGTGAGATGCATAGAAGTTAGAAGTGTGTGGCGATTTTCTGTTATCGAAAAAAATGGATCACAGAATTTGCATGAAATTTTTGTAAAAAATTGAATTGAGTGCCCGAAAATACATGAAATGTTGACAAAGGCATATGGTGATTGTTCTGTGAGTCACAAAAATATGGTACAAGCTTTTCGCAGAAGGTCGAGAAGATGTTTATGAACAGTTGATGAAAATGTTGAGAAAGTGAGGAAAATTGTTATGGAGAATCATCCTATCACTATTAGAGAAGTTGCTGAGGATGTCGGCATATCGGTTGGCTTAGGCCATTCAATTTTTTCGTAAATTTTGGGCATGAAGCGTCTGACAGCAAAAATCGTTCCAAAATTGCTGAATTTTGATCAAAGAAAACATCACATGAGCATCTCTCAGGAATTGTTGAATGACGAATCACGGGTACTATATATGGTTATGACATCGAAACCAAAGTCCAATCGTCCCAATGGAAGAGTTGAGGAGAGCCAAGACCAAAAAGAGCACGCCAAGTTTGAACAAATGTCCAAGTTTTACTCACTGTTTTCCTCGAATACTGTGACGCAGTCCATCAGGAGTTCTTGCCACATGGTCGTACGGCCAATGAGGAGTATTATCCTGAATTTATATGCCGCTTGCGGGAAGCAACACGAAGAAAACGTCCGGTATTGCGGAAAAACAATTCGTGGCTTTTGCAACAAGATAATGCACCTGCTCACTCGTCATTGCTTACTCGTAATTTTTTGGCCACAAAGAACACCGTTATCATGCCTCAGCTACCGTATTTACCTGATTTGAGCCCTTGCCACTTTTTCTGGTCTCAAGATTGAAGAAACTCATAAAACGACGGCGTTTTGCGATGATTGAGAAGATAAAATCGAATCAAATCGAGAGCTCAAGGACATACTAAAACTGCTTGGAAGAAATGTATCAAGATAAAACGAAGTACAATAAGCAAATACTCCTAGCAAATTCCAGAAATATCAATTCTTAGACTTTTTGTGTATTTACAGATTTTCTCTATAAGCTAGTAGAAATGGATCTGGGCTAAAATTTGATCTGGAGCAATTCATCAGTAGGTATAGGCTATAACTCACAGGAGGAGATTTTGGATGAATTACGTTTTTGTTTTGTAATGAAAGTTATTGAAACCATCATTTTCATTCGTCTCCTGGTGATGCTAACTTAGTGAAGTGTGCGTCCACATTAATAATTTCTAATAACGTCTCTAGTAACGGCATCAGCGTGAAAATATTTTCATTATCATGGATAGTCAAATTCATTATTTGACAAACATATGAAATAACTGATAAACATTTAAAAAAATCACAATTATTTCTACCAAGTAAGAGGAGTTGAATATATGGTGTAAAATTATAGTCTATTTTGATGTATCAGGTTGGATATTAACAGAGTTGGTAGTTATAAAAATGAACAAAGATACATTTTTTTCAAAGATTATGTGCTACCAAAGGTAAAAAGTTTTATTTCGAGTGTATTTTGTTTGAAATAATGGATTCTTGACATCCCGTGGATTGAAAAATGGCAGATTCGTTAGAGAAAATGAAAAATGAAGAAATTGAAAAAAAATAAAATAAATGAGAGTCTGTTATTTATTGATCATACTTCAAAAGGCTAGAATTGGCTATTAATGATATATTGGCGCCACCACTTGGAATTATGGAATATTTAGGAGAGATTGATGTTTGGATCTTCCATTTCGAAATATCAATTTTCTCTCCTTGCTTCAATCTCAGACTCATTTTAATTTCTGTTAGAGAATGGGTACATGAATGTTTCTTTCTCACTTTTGAGGCTTTGTTCACGAAAAGCTGTTACTAGTTTGAATTTGAATACCTAAATATCTTTCGCTTAGACGAAGGATTCATACATGCAGTCGAATCGCGTTCGAGTCACTCGAGTCCTAGGCTCACTGCTGTTTGGATCGTATATTTCCTGCACTGGTGAGAGGTAATACCTCGAAGCTGATCTGTAAATGATCTACTCGATTGATTCCAGCGTGTTCCTGATGCTGGATGAACGAAAAACATCTGCGAGACTAACATATGTGAGGTATCTTGCATAAATGTCTGTCGAATATAATTCAGTCCAAGATGGATAGAAATACCACGGTGTAATCACTCAGACCTCTCCCTATGTAAAATATTTTGACGAAATCATTCGATCTGGGGACTCTTGATTCTACATAAAATAGATTCAACGTAAGTACTTCGGCATCCCATTCACAGAGGCGCTAAGCGCACACCAGTGTTTACATTTGGAAACTATTCTTGTTCCATCTATCAACACGTGTTAAAAGATGGTTCAATGTCAATTCTTGCGTCAAAAGATTTTGAAAAAACAATAGCGAATCGGTTGAATCACCAGAGTTTCTTTTCATCTTTGACGAGGAACTAGTTGTTTACTGGTGGGCCTCTACCAGAACCTACTGTATGGGTGAGTTGGGAGAGATTCATTTCGAAATATAATTTTTCTTGCCTGTAGAAATTTTATTTTAGAACCGTTTTGTTATGTGGTTTGATTTGTGTAAAACTTCATCAACGTTATGTTCAATTGAAAAAAATAAGGAGGTGGTTACCATGGTGATGGTGGTGATGATAATTATAGTGATTATGTATATGCAGTTCTCTTCGCTTCGATTCATAGAAATTAAAATAATTTTTCTGCTTTTCCTAACTACCTGATTTCTACTGGTTCAGTACACAGGTAGTGTTTTTAGTTGTGTTCAGGTTTGTCACAGTTAAGAAAAAAGCAAAGACCTTCAGGATTTTTCTAGGGTAATCGTAGTCTTGAAATTTGAATATTCAAGACTATCATTTTGGAAAATATTACTTTTAACAAGATTACAGTCAACCTTATTGTAATATTCGTAAATCTGAAGAGTTTTATAATTCAAAACAGAAGCAGATGACTGCGTACCGAACTTCATTACCAAGTATGTCCACTTAATTTGTGAAGTTTTCTTCCTTATACGAGGCAAATGGGCAAATTTCGGATATGCGGTTGGTTACCTCGTGCACAGGTAGATAGAGCGATTACAAACCGGTTGTTTGTTGTTCGTTTCAGCCTAGTTCGAGGAATATTACTCTGAAGGAATTCCATTTTCAATTATCGGAAATCATCGACTTTATGTTGATGGTAGACACTACCTTGCACTGACGAGTGGCCAAACAGCCCACAACCGGTCTGCAAGTGTGTTCCAATAATTGAAAATCTATTGCGGCAGTTGCATCGTCAACATCATATGCAGAAATAACTTCAGTGAAGAATTCTGCACTGACACCTGTCGTATATAATCCAACGCCCTTCGTGGTATCAGCCAGGGGAGTAGTTGTTTTCTGATAGGTGTCAGTCCATCATTTACATTTGACCCACTGTACATCCTCCCGAAGAGTTGTCCTCCTAGGTCATCGTCCATCCTGTTGTTTCAAGGAAGGTGGACAGGTCACTAGGAGACATCTCCTTTATATCGGCAGGTGTAGGCCAGGACTCGTCTTATTGACGATAACTCCGGGCACTCGCATAGGACTGTCAGTCCATCAACCTACAGTGTAGTTATTTTGAAACTGTCCTGAACAAATTGTTCTTTCAGATAATTCAATTACCAATCGATTGATTCTTGTGTACTTACTTCATTTTTCTCATCCGGATGTATTACCGACTTCTTATGAACAGTGTTCTCTTTCCCAGATTCTTGGTCATCAAAAATAAGTTGTTGAAATGTATCCAGTACCTTAAGCCTTGTATCCTGTTGGGAATTATCTTGAACGTTGGAAAACTGTTTGTAGTTTTTCAATATTTCACTGTTCTGGGCTTTCACTTGGGCGACAAGAGCCTTTTCTGCTTGGATTTGAGCAGCTGCTTGGTGGATATGATTGGGGGCGTAAAACTCTACGTTCTTTGATGGGTAATGGTGTACAGGTTTGATCTCAGATGAAATGGGAAAGGACTTCGTTATTGAATGAATAGGTAAAGTTTGATGTAATGCCAGATGTTGATTTGCAGCTACGGAATTTCCAATATTACTGCTCTGATCATCTATATTCTGATTGTTTTCGAGGCCTGGTAAAGGAGTTGGATAAAACAAATTATGTTCGAAAGCTGGTTGATTGTTTTGGTGATAAGTTTGTTGTTTATATGGAGCTATTTCCTGCTGAACTAAAGGCAGGGCCTGTGGATGTTCGTTCAAATGATATTTCTGAAGTATTGCTTTTTGTGCATTCTCAATAGCTTTATGCTGAGCCTCCACGTGTGCTTGGGCTTCTTGCTTTGCCTTTTCCAAAACCTTCTGGGTCTGTATATTGGAAGCCTCGTCCAGTTGCTTTTGGAGACTTTCCAAAGAGTTCTGGTCGATAGCGGGGGATTGTTGCAGTATTGACGAAACAATTTGCGAGGGCGTTTCTTCATGGCCGACATGTATATTGGGTCTTGACCTGGGATTAGGAATATCGATAGATTTTTCCACAATTGGAGTGTGGTCCTTGGGGCCAGACTGTTCATTTGAGGCAGGAGAAATGGGGCTGTTTTGAGAAACTTCTTGTAACAAAATATGTTTCAAACCCTCCAGCTGAACATTTGGATTTTTTCCTAATAAGTCATTAAGAGCATTATATTTTAAATCAGGAATACCAGAAATCGAATTTGGATTGAGGACATTTGGATGGACATAAACGATTTCTCGTTCGAAGTTTATCGGTCCATCCTGTCTATCAATTTCTTGTGTTTTCATAACCGTTTCTGAACTTGCCCCTTCCAAATCTTTTGAATTCAACCCTTTCGCACGAGAGTTTGGTACGACTCTTGTTGTGAACTGAGTGGGGATTTGCAATTTAGGACGTCTGTGTATATTTTGTTTTGTAATTCTAGGTTGAAACGGTTGCCATTCCTCAGTGATCCCAGTAGGTAATGAAGGGTTGTTGGATAAACGGTGATCTTTTGGTGAATATTCACCAGCAGACGGCCCTCTCATATAAAACCCATTTCTGAAATCAACCTTTTGTTGTTGAGCGTATCTGTGCTTCAAATAGTTTTGCTGTTGTGCCAACTGATAGTTGAAGACATGTGGTTTGTACTCAATCATTTTTTGGGTGGCGTAAGGATTTCGAGCAGTCCTAACACTTCCACTTTCTCTTTCGACTTGGTCTTCATGAACCCTGGGATTATGCTCGGCTCCGGAAGTAAAAGTTGTCAGGTATACAATCAAAAATACCTGAAATATCAAATGAAATAATTAGTGGATTTTAAAGTCGTTTAATATTTTCATAATTGAGAATTGTGATGAATTATATCCGCCTGCTACATACGAAAGTGAAACCGAATATAAGAAAGTAAAACTCATGAATATTCCATTTTATATTGATATTTAATTTAGTAAAAAATTATTGAGTGTGTATGCAAATATATCTAATTTCATAATAATTAATAATTTATTGAAAAATAATTCAATCTGCGAATGCAAATATATCCAATTCTGAACACTGAACTGGTCGATCCATATCAATACTAACTGGTTAATTGTGAAAATCTAAGAATGAATCCAATTAGTTAGGAAGTATGAATGATAATTATCGCTTGATCAAGCTATTTTATAGAGAAAAACGTGCCGCGGTTTTTGTAAAACCCTTATAACAAAAATTTATATAGCTCATAATGAGTCCTACACTTAGTGTAGGACTTCATTATGAGGGGGGACACTTTCAAGAACTATTTGTAGCCCTGTTTCAACCCCCTAGGAGGGGTAGATGTTACCCTTAGAATTTTAAATAGGAAGGGGGGTAAAGTGGCACATCGCTTTGATTGGCGTTCAATCCTTCAATTTTACTTCCAATGATAACCGAACTTATTATTTTTTATTGATAATTTTAAGAAAAATAGCTTTCTAAACTAACAAAAGTAATTATTAGTACGCCCATACTGAGATGCATGGTTTGACCAGAACTAGTAAGAATATTAGGTAGTACATAGATGGTAGTAAAGTTGTGCGGAGAGACTTTGCTTTGCTTATTTTAGATGATATGGGGGCGGGGGAGGCTAGATGGTGATTACGTCAGCAGTAGTTATTTACTTTTCCAAAACACATATGGCATCACACAAATTGTCTATGTTTGTCTATGTTTATTACTGGGCGCTATTCATTTGTCTAAAATTCTTCTTCTAATCATTTCTGAACATTTTAGAAGATTGAGTTTAGAAATAAATAGATTCCAATGTCATTAAAAATTTAGAATCATGGATTCGAGTGTCATGGACTAAAGACTGTTAATTGGAATTGATATGTATACCAAAAATTTCAAAAAAGTTAGTTTTGTTGGTAATATTACTTAAGACTAAAATATTTACCTTACTCTTTGTTGAATACCATGTCACTGAAGTTTGTTTAAATGAATATTATATGCGGTAAAGTCCTCTATTCTGAATATATTTTTTATTTCTAGAATTTTAATTGATGCTCATGAATCAATTAAAAAACAATACATTAAAAGCAAAATGCACATAACAATGTTCACGTAAGCATGGGAGGGGTAGTAGAGCTTTGCTTACCTTTGCTGACAAGGGGGATGGATGGGGTGAATAATGGTAATGAATATGCTTGCGTAATATTTGAAAGGCCCCTCAAATGTTGACATTTTCAAAAATTGGGATTACAAAAAATGTGGCGTGTATTTGTAGAAGATATTATACAGTGCGAGTGTAAATGGTCTCCCTCCTCTTAACTATTGAATGGATATCAAGGTTAGAAAAAATTTACGTTTAAATGGTAACATATTCAATATTTTTCAGTTAGAAAGTGTCAGTGAGAGAGTGCTTTACGAATGGAAACGCGGATCTTGTGACACTTAAATAGGTATTTCAACACTTTTGGCAAAACTTTTTCATTTTTGAAAGCCACACGGGCCGTGCTTGCTCAATTAGCAGTTTTATATTCGTTTTGATAATCTATACAAAGAAACGATAAATATGTTGATTTCAAGAAAAAACAAATCCAAATTCACTTCAGTTTATTCATCACTCACTTTCTGAAAATTATGGAGTTTGTTTATAAAGTCATTTCTTACATTATTGAATGTTACCGAAGTGATTTTGTTGCAAGTACTCATTTTTCTACTTTAGAGTTCTGAAATGAACTGCGTACACTGAAATATCACGTATCCCCTCAAACATATCGAAAGGCGTCATTTCAGGTGATCTAGCTTGAAGAACCACGTTTACCTATCCACCGGTTTGACTAATTGTCGTCTAACCACTTTTGTACCAGCATGCCATATAAAGGAGGTTCCTTACTCGGCCGGACTGTGATATTAGTTGAAAACACATTCCAGTTTTTTGATTATTTCAACCCCTAGATAGGCAAACATGGACCTTTAGAATGGCCAGGTAAATTACCTGACAAGACGCCTCTAGATATTGTTGCGGCGATACGTGACATTTAGGTAAGTGTATGATGTAATTACCCAGTTGATTTTGAGTAATTAAGTGTGAATTTTAATAAATAGCTCAACATTGTACACAATGATTAAAAGAATTTTTCGAATTCGAGTTTTTTCAGATTTTTTGCATTTTCTGAGAACATTTACTATAGTAATGTATATTTTTACACCATCAGAAAGAAGAGATTTCAACGAACAAAGGGCACACCGATTGTTTGAAAAAACCTGATATTTTGACGCGAGATTTTTCGATTGAAAATTAGGGAAAATTTGTTGATACAAAAGTTGTAAATGTTTTTAATACCTCCAACTTTGCCATTTAACTTTTTTCCATAGGACTTGTAGTTTTGCCGGAAATCGAGATAAACCATTTTTTACCCCTCCTTTTTCAATGGGTTTCATCCTACTATTATTTTGTTCACTTTTTACCATTTTTGAAGGCTTCAGCTCTGGCCTATTCTTGTATACCATAAAGATACCATATTACTCCGTACTTGCTGGATTTGAAAGACTTCAACGTCGCAAATAGAATTAAATAGCTGACAATTTTATTTGTTTATAGATTAATAAAAACGCAAACTTTCATTTGTTTGTATAGTTTGATAAAGAGACAGATTGATATTCATCATTTTATTTACCTCAATATAATACTTTAAATTTGAATGCTGATTTTTCTTTTTTGACCCACTATATTTGAACGAAATTGTAGTATAGATAAATAACTCATTCCATCATTTCCAAACAGAATTAAAATCGCTGTTGATTAATGCTGGACCCTGAAATGATTCATTCCTTTTTTCTGTTCATATGCATACTAAGTATATTATAGGTTGGATTATTAGAACGTATTTGTGTTGAATACTTTATGTTATCTGTTTAAAAAATATGTTTTTCCGTTAATCAGCTGTCGCCCCCATACGAACGACAACTTTCAGAAGTTGAGAAACTTGTGCGAGCTAAGGACTAACGAGGTCTTACCTTTTAACGTGTGATTCCTAACACATTAATTTACCAACACTCAACACATCTGGCAATTTCATGAGGTAGGGTAGAAAATAGCCTTTGACTAACCCTATTTCCTTCGTGTGAAAAAATGCTTTTGAGTTTTATGTATGATAAAGTTATTATTTATTACTATTTTCAGTCCCCTCCCCCTCTCAACTTTGAAAGGAACAGTGTATAAAGGTCGAATGAAATTCTCGTGGAAACGTATCATTTTCAGTACTTTCTGATAAGAAAGACAATCGTCGCCGAGATGGCGCTACCAGCTGTTTTTTTTTCAAATGGGGAGAGTGGTCTTGTGATTCATTTGATAAGTATTTTTGGGGTAATTAGGAGTTTTATGTTCGTTTCGAGAATCTGCAAACAAATGGTAAATATCACGATTTCAAGAAAAAAAATATTTAAAACTTACTCCAGTTCATTCCAATAAATATTCAGTATGTTATTCATTCAATCTCTGGTCGAATGAATCACTCGAAAATGATTTATACTCTTGATTTTAAGTTTTTAAAATTGTGAAGTGAAATAGATCGGATTCTAAAAAACGTTCAGGCTTATGAAGTTTCTATTTCCTTTTATATAGACAGTAACTACTTGCCCCTTTCCTCTTTATTTAGATTTAATGGGTGAGTGTGTTTTCAACTTCCTTTCATAATAATTGAACATTGTATCAAGAAGGATTCGTTGATGAGAATTCTCATGTTGTTACGAAACATTACACCCATTACACCGCACTTTCCTTTTTATTGTTCTTAGAACTATTTGTGGATCTACTAAATATTTCGAACTTCACTTTATCATGACTACTATTCAGTTATTTTTTAGGAAATTGTGAATTAGAGAACTGTACTTGTTATGATAATGTTTCTGGTGTTCGCAACTTGGAAGTGTGATAATTTTTATCGGACGTAGGTACTTAGGAACTTGTGAAAATAGTTTTTAATGACAATTTTCATATCCCGGTTACGGGATATTTTCACTTGATTGAGAAACAGTTTGAACATTGAATAATGAAGAATGTTTAATATATCAAAAGGGGACTACTTATTTGAAAGACGACAAAATAGAAATTGATGAATAAATGAATAATTCATGAGAAAAATGAAAATTCAACTTATTTTTTAACAGGCCTCATATTATTATAAATGCTCATCAATTGTAACTGGGATACAATGAAGAATTGAGTTATTGATCTTGATATTTCCAACGAGCTAAACCTGATGCATACCAGAACGCCAACCAATTGTGTCAAATATATTTTTCAGTTTGTTCTATTCTACAACTTGATAATAACCATCATTATGGTCTACCGCAGTGGCGTGATGGATAATATAGAGGTTCCTAACACAAGGTTGCAGGGCTTGCCGCGAGACGCCGGAGATCCCAATGTATTTGCTATCAGCATGTCCAGCATATGGATTCCTAGCCTTTATCCATCGACATGACGCGGCTCTGAGAGTGCTATATTATCACTTACCGCACTTTTACGGTATGGAGGAGACATTGTCGTTGCCCTACGCTGCGTGGGATATCAAATTCATTGTGGGAAATGAGGATTGTTGTATTTATTGAAACTATTCATTCCCCATTCTTAGGCTCATACAAACAAGGCTGATGTAGTTCTTCTCGACCACCAGAGCAAGACCATACTACTCGTTTAGTTTTCAGCTTCCGACAACACAAATGTCATCCGAAAAGAGTAGAAAAAAAAACGGATAAAATATCGAGATATTCTCTTCGAACCACTCTGTCAAGATGGTTGTTTTGATTATTGGAATTCTTCGTTGAATCGAATTTTCAGAAAATCCAGGCTTGCCGTATTGAGGCAGAAATCTCAGCCGGACACATGTAGAAGGCTGTCATTCTTGGCTCTTTCCTTCTGCTTATAGCACATGATTTCTCGAACCTAGTGATCACTCACCTCACGGTGTGGAAAGTGGTTGATGAGTTCAATTATTTTTTTATGGAGATATACAAATCCTGCAAATACACACTTTAGAAGTGATACAACAGTTCTCGTCAAAAGTTTTCTGAACAAACCTTCTAAAGATGCTGTGAAGTATCACATAGTCCATGTGTCAATGTGCATATTAGGTGTCGAAAAGTGTATATCAGTAAAAATTCTATAGCGGCATCGAAGCGACGCTTGGAAGAAGATCAACCTTTACCATCACCCAAAGACATGAACGGTTTGATTTAAAATAATGTGCTTATTTTGTGGCCAAACAGCTGATGCGGCAGCAGAGTCAAGAACAAATGAAAAGTACCGACGCACGATTAGTAACGTTAGTACCTACTCTACAATTTAAAGACGATCTCATGAAAAAGGCAGAAGAATGAAAGGATTCCTTAGGAGAATCAGTCAAAGATCGTTTACTGTGTGAATAAGCCTCGTGAAGGTAATCAAGTTACTAAAGCAATGAAGGAGATCTTTTGTTAGATAGAAAATCATGAAGATTCACAATTCAAATATTTAACTGACATAGTAATTACAAGAAAAGTAGGATCATTCACTATTATATCTTTTCGTGACACACACTAATATTTTATCAAAAAGTTGGTACGGAAATAAAAAAAATACACCGGAAGAAGAACGAGAATTATAGAAGCTGCAGCAGCTATACTTAGGGAAGATATTCGAGCGTCAGCAACAAAGTCTTATCCACCTCCAAGTAAAAAGCTAGATAATATTAACGAAGGAATACCTAAAACTTTACTGCATTTTTTACACGAAACAATATTGAAAAACAGAAGAGGAAAAACGGACCATCTAAGAACGAAATGCACATCGATAAGTAATGCAATAATGGCTTCGATACGAGAACGATCATTTTCATCACAACTTCTATTAGGGCTTTCTGTATTTCTTCATAGAAGATATAGATCGAAAAGACTATTAGATATTTTATCTAGTTTGAGATTTCCAGCTTCATAAAATAATACTGTTCAGTATGAAATTTCAGCAGTTTACCATCCTCAACCTCGTATTTTATCATCAGAGTCAGGTACACTTGTACAATATGTTGGAGACACTGCAGATGTACATTTCCAAACTCTTGATGGTAATAATACTATCCATTTTATGGTAATGATTAAGATTTTTACTCCAAAAGAAGCTGTTATTTACGACAAACGCATACAAAAATGTACAACTAAACCAAGTGCAAAAGAGTTGGTTGCAATATCACATGTATCTCTTTTAGCATACGAAAAACCTGTTGTGCCTGGATACAGGCACAGGTAATATTCACAGATATTCACGGTTGACTTTGGATGACAGTACGCACGCTGCGCGTTTACCGCCCTCTATCTCAAAAACGATTGAGCGCATGAAAAAAAGGTTCGAATAAAATTTATCCTAAATGTTATGCTTTATAATTTTTATGATAGTTATTAACATCATTGAAGCAATAGAAATTGAGATAACAACGAAAAACTGTTTTTTTTACCTTTGACCTCATATAACTTCCGATACACACATGAGATTATATGAGACTTTTGAGACAACTTTTAGAACGCCATAATAAAGGTATATACAAATATTAAGCTTATTACCTTTCATTCCGAGGTTATTCGCTAAATTAACTGGACTATTATGAAAAATCTAGCGAAAACAAATTGGGTGACTGTGGAGGCTAGTCAATGGCCATACTCAATATAAATGAAAAGAATATTATTTTTGAATAAAATATTTCATTACATTTCCATCATTACCAAATTCTCACTGGAATCTTTTAATTAATTTTGTTCAATGAAAACACCAATTTGAAATCTGATATGTTAATTAAAATCACTTCGAAATCATCTTAGAGCACATCTGAATAAGTGATTTAAGTATAGCGCCAGAAAAATATTCATACCAATAAGGTATTTGAGTTTTTGAATTTAGAAAAATTTTTTGTTGTTTTCAGTTTTTTATCCAAATAAAAAAACATTTGATTTGGTTACATCACAATTTGACTCGTCTAACATTTCATATTGTTGTTTTTCAGCTGAACTGGCTAGAGTTAGGTGGGTTCAATAAAATACTTGAAGATATAAACCATAATAAATAAAACTATAATCAATGTTCTTTGAATAATTATAATGGCTATCCACTGTGGATGAAACTTGTCAAGTTACAAGCGATTGAGACTGAGATGCAATTCTTTCATGGGCACGTTAGAAGTGAAATATATGTGATTTTTTAATAATGTTTCGGTTTGTTTTTTGATTTGCAAAATGGCAATATTCCTTATACATATTATTGTTATTGAGATATTTTGTTGGTAAATTAAGACTAATAGACTAATTTTGTGATATTATCCTTATCATATATCTGCCATTTTATCACTCGTATAGACTATCTAGTAACTTTTAATGTATCCCGATTATAAAATTCAACTGAAAGACCCATCATTTTCCACAAAAAAGAACTTTTAAAATAACATTCAGTTGAATTGAACAATTTCAATATTCCAAAAATCAATTTCAACTTTTTATAATCCTTTCATGTTAAATATTTTCATTAATGGTATATTTTTGTTGAAAAGTAATAACACATTCCAATCCATATAGAAAACCAGGTGAAATAATATATTCTTGGTAATATTTCCAGAGAACTGAAATATAAAATGGGCTACCAGATATTCAGTTATTTAATTAGATTAGGCGTTCGGAAAAATCTTTTCTGTATTGAAGCAGACTTTTTCATCAGTTTGCTATCGACTCTCAATACATTTATTTATTCAGAAATACACTTTGTATTTTTGAGAATTTTTCTAACCGTAACATTTAAAAATACTTACAATTTTTGGAGCCATCGTTCACTTAATTCGGCACTTCACCACGACCTTGCTCTTAGGCTTTTGTCTTTGGCACTGGAAGAAATTCAAGAGTCACTTTCATTTCTATACTCGGCAAAACAGATTTAAAATTATAATCGCTCTTTCCATAGGAACTCTTCGTCTTGTAGAATGGCGATAGAAATGTACCAGAGAGAGAAAACTAACATGTGCTCCATACAACGTATGAAACTGAGGAATCTGCATTTCTCCGGAATGTATGAGGAACTCTTGCACCAGTGGTAGTGGGTTATAATATTACAATCATATTTTTAATATTATTTGAACAAGGAATATGAATAGATATAAATTGAAATTTGAATACGATTCACAGATTGAGAGCACATATTCTGAGAGTTGAAAAGAAAATGATTAGAATATCTCAAAGAATTGCAAAAGAAATGAAATCAAAGAATTATAAAAAAAACAACGAGGATTAGGAAAAGACGAATTTTTGTCTGTGGTCAATGGCTTCTTCGTAAGGAGAGAATGCATCACCTTTACTTTCTCAGGTTAACGCTTCGAGGACAGTTGAGTCAAGGAATGCATTTGTTATTCAGCCTAGCACTACTGATAAAAACTTGGCTGTTTGGTTTCAATCAATATAAAAGTTATTTAATATTATTTACTACTTCAAACTTTTTTAAGTCTTGTCTAGATACTACCTACTTATCGAGTCAAATAATAGTTTTACAGAAAAATAGTTACATACGAGGTCTGTTAAAAAAATAATGTGAATTTTCAATTTTCTCAAGAAATATTTATTTGTTTATCAATTTTCAGTTTATCTCCTTTAAAGTAGTGTACCTCAGACAATATACACTTGTGCTAGCGTTTTTTTCAATCCAATTCAAGCAGTTCTGATATGCACTTTTGGGTATGTCCTTAAGTTTTCTCAGCAATTCAGTTCTCATCTCCTCAATCGTCGCAGAACGCCGTCCTTTCATGGGTTTCTTGGAAACAGGAAAAAGTCGCAGTGGGACAAATCTGGTGAATACGGTGGCTGAATTACGGTGTTGTTATTGGACAAAAACTTACGTATAGGCAATGACGAGTGAGAAGGTGCATTATCGTGTTGCAAAAGCCATGGATTATTTTTTCACAATACCGGCCGTTTTCTTCGTATTGCTTCTCACAAGTGGCGTATAATATTCCTTATTGACCGTACGACCACGTGGCAAGAACTCCTTATGCATTACGCCACGGTAATCGAAGGAATCGTGAGCAAAACCTTGACATATGATCGAATTTGGCGTGTCTTTTTTGTTCTTGGGTCTTCTGTGCTCTTCCATTGGGGATTGGACTTTGGTTTCGACGTCATAACATCTACTCGAGATTCGTAACCAGTTATGACTCTTTCAAGCAAATCTGGATTGCCGTTGACGTCATTCAACAATTCTTGAGCGATGCTCATGCCGCGGTTTTTTTGCTCAAAATTCAGCAACACGCTTCATGCCCAAAATTTCCGAGAAAATGAAATGGCATGAGCCAACCGATATGCCGACATCCTCAACATTTTCTCTGATAGTGACTCAACGATAGTGATAACAATTTTCTTCACTTTATCCACATTTTCATCGGTTCCCCTTCTGGAAAAAGCTTGTACCATTTGTAAACAATTTTCTGGCTCAGAGTATGATCACTGTATGTCACTCTCAACCTCGAAAGTGTTTTTGAATCGATTATATTTAAGGTACCTACTACTTCTACATACCACAAACGTACTTATTACACATTGATTCAGTTTCATCTCAAAGAATAGAGTAGATTCAATAAGTTCATCTTCTGATGACGCTAACTTGGTTGTTGAAATGATCGATGTGAAGTGTGTTGCAATTCTGGTGTGTGGACTTATCTCAAAGACATCATATTTTTTGAATAACTTGTTAATGCAGAATAAGTTTTTCACGAAATTGAACCATGTAGTCACTTTTCGGCAAAATGGAGAAACAGTGATGAAAAGATAATTTTGTTTCATGGATGCGCCTTTTTCCCCCGCGGCTGGGGTCCCTGTTCGAATAGTTGAAAATCCGTTCTTATTAAAGATCTACAGAATAAAACGAACCTACATACAAAATTTCAGCATCCGAAAATATAGCGATACGGAGAAACAGTGATGAAAAGGTAATTTTCATATGTAAACGCGCATCTTTTACCCCCACGGGGGGCTCCCTCCTCAGATGACATATTTAAAAGTTCCTCCTTAGTGTGCATCTGAGACTCAAGAAACCTATACACCAAATTTTAGCTTCCTAGGACTCAACAGTACGGAGAAACAGAGATGAGTGAGTGAGTGTTAAGTGAGTGACTTTGGTATTCATAAATATAGAATTAGCAATAAAAAGAACAAAATGAAAAATGATCATTGAATTATACTGAAAGTACGTAAAGTTCGTTAAAAACCCTAGTATCTAACTATGGAAAAGTTTTCAATCATTTTCAATTTGAAGTTGAATTTAACTTTATCTTGTTCAAACGATATTTTTTAATATTGATGAAAATATTTGTACTTCACATTATAATTTTAAAGAACTCATTATTCCATGCATCAAAGAAAAAGCATAAGGATCATGTAACAAAAATAATACCGGAGGAAACTCATCTCGAAAAAATAAAAAAAAAAATATTTGAGCTGGCCCGGCCGCAAATTTTCATAAAAGCATTAGGAAGTTCATAATTCTGAAACCACATGAAATGGCATTACTAAGATTCAGAGGCCTCTCATCTGAAAAAAACATTGTTTGAGCTATCCGTATTACGAAGTAACTTTTCAATTTATCCTCTACAACACTTCAGCAAAATCTCTATTAACTTAGCTTTGTTTATTATGAAGATTTTACAGTGATTTGGATGCGATATTCTTCTCTAACTAAATATTTTCTTCCGTTCACTCAAATTTATTATGAACACATAATATAATATGCGTTTTAACGAAAATACTCCAACTTTACTAAAGTAAATCATTTAATTTATTTTCCTAATTTATATCGTCACACCTAATGAAAGAAAATTTGTTTATATTTGAAAAACTACAAACATTTGTGATTTTTTTTCCGATTTCTATCATTTCATTATTCTTGTATTAATATTTAATTTTTTTGGTGGTTGCTTGTATGTTATTTCTTTAGAATTTGAAATTTACTCTTTATTCTCAAAATAGAAAATGTGGGTGACTTAATTTGAAATGGCAAAATTTTACAATTCTTTATCAAATGTTCCTATATAATTTTTGTCTGTTTTTTATCAATATGATCAATGGAATTTAGAGAGTCATTGTATTCCCATGTCTATTTGATAACCAAACTTAGTGAATCCCTCTTCAATTTACGTAAAAAAGTGTGATGTATAAATAATGAGATTCGTGAAAGGATTTGCGTGTTTCGAATTTTGAACGTTGGCGCAATAGTACCTACTTCTAAATGTGATAGTTCTTGAACCCCGAATATCGCACAATGATGAATTATAATTTATGTTAGCGATGGTTTGCTTTTGTTCTTGATTACTTTCCTAAATAACTTGATATTTCAAGATAACGATCATCATGAAATGTGAAACACCCACTTCTGATTTGATATAACATAAAAAATGAAGAAGGATAGTTATTTGTAGAAATTAGTATACTTTAACTCGTTCAATTAGAAGATGATAGACTGTATTCAGTTCATTACTATTCCTTTGGTGGCCAAAAAGCAATTTCTTTCCGTAAAAATTAGAAATTCGGACATTAGAGACATTTGCATTCGAAAACGTTTTGAAATTCAATCAACCTGAATCTGGCACGATCAACAAATTATCCAATAACTACACTAGTGTTCGTTAAGTTAATAGATGAGGGTTTTTCATAAAAGTAGAAATTTCAGCATCATATCACGAGGAATCACGTAAACTATTGAAAATGAGAACGTATTAGGAGGGCGAGTCTGTGAATTCTTAGCTTATTGGAAATATAAGTGAAGTATTTATGCATATCACAGGAAAATGATTATTTCGTTCGATAATTTTCTTTGCTAACTGATGAACATCATTTGGATATAAAGAATGGAGTTGAGGAAATTGTAATTTATTTCTTTTCATACTTTTCATGAATCTTAGATTTTCAGCGATTAAATTCAAAACATCCTACTCTGTTAGCTAGTCTTTACATCTACAAAAACACGAGTTTGAATCACTATGACCATTCTAGACGTCACTAAATTGTGTAAAAAATGTACGGAATGTACGCTTTTTTCGTCAAACTGATAAGAAACATATATATCAAATTTTTCAAGAGTTATGATTCGCACAAAGAAATAATAATTATAGCCACCTCCAAAAATTATTTCCCAAAATAGACAGCGTTTCTACTGTGCATATATAAATTATGTTTCCACTTACAAAATTGTTGGTATTTTGTAAGTCGAGCTTACCCCGACTATCGTATTTTTTTTATATTGAGTTGTATTATCACATGTTGTACTGTTTTTGTCGTTCATTATAAATGAGTTTTCAACATTTTGCTGACATGACATGTTGAAAACTTCTATTGGCTCAATTTCTTTCGACTTGGTAATCACTAGGCTTCGTTAGGGATTCTATTGCTTCACTGTGCAACCTGAATAGATCAGTGCTGAAGCCTTTAAAAAAGGTAAAAAGTGAAAAAAAGTAGTAGAATGGAACTCACCGAAAAAGGAAGATAATATACCAAAATGAAAGAAAAATTAAAATACGGTCGATTTGAGATCGGGAAGTAGGCAGATTTACGGCAAAACTACGTTTGTATTTACACTCAACCTCAAAATTTATGAAAAAATTCAAATAACCAAGTTTTTGTTTTTTCATTTTTATCTTGTACAAAAGAATTTTTTTCACAGAATTTGGCGAAAACTAACCTTTCAATGTACCAAACACAATTTAGTATTTTGGATTTGGAATATCTATTTTTTCATCTCGTTTTGGTTCAATATCTAAAAAGCACCCTAATTTTCAATCGAAAATTCACATATCAAATTCTCTGCTTTTAAAAAAAGTCAGTTGACTTTTTGTTCATTGAAATCTTCC